TTATATACCTCTTGCCAAATTTTTGCCTCCCTACTTCTCTCTTCCCAAACGACACAAAATCCAAGTTTTCTATTTTTTACTACAACTCTAAACTCAAGATTTTTACATTATGTGTTTTGTGTTTGTTTCCACACGTAACCTGTATATTATCTTCCTCAACTCTTCATAAATCTTAAATCGATTGACTTTCTTGAAAAAGCATCTAGAATTTGAAGTTGTATTGAATGGAATCATTTTCTTCACAAATAGTTTCAGGTGCTGCTTGCTTAACTGAATTCTTAATCTGATGAAAAAAAATCAGATTTCTCTGTAGTTTTTACTTGTTTCTGTTCATGGGATCCATATCAGGAAAAGGAAATATTTGTGTAGTTATCAAATTCCTTTAGCTTTGAGCAATAGTGTTCAAGAGCTTTTTCCTTTTTCCCCCCTAGGAATCCTCAATTGCTTTTCACAACCTCAACAGTTAAAAATGTCAAAGTTTAAATATTTATCATTTAGGGGCATTAATTTTAATTCATCAAGGAATCCTCATATCTATAAACACTTTTAAAGTAAAAAAAAATCATATGATTATACTAAGGAAAGAATTGGCCATTTGTCCTCTATTTCATAATGAACACTATAAACTGTCACTTGATACATGATGAAAGCATTTTCTTTGATGCAACTAAGGCCCAGCTTTGCATACCACTACCAACTTACTTATAGACAAAAAAATGGACCTAATCTCTGAATAAGGTGATAGGGAATTGGTGCAAACTGAAAAAATATCAGCATTTTGAAATTAATTGGTTATAGAAGATCCTATATATTAGGACAAACTTGGGTTTTCTCACACTAAATCTTTTTCTTTCCTGTCCACCCTCAAACCATACCAACACGTCCTTACACCCCTAAGGGACTGTATACAAATGAGTAACACGGAGAGCAGGAAGCGCACTGTTTATATAGGGGAAATTACTTCTATTAGGGATTACCCAAACAAAACCATAGAACTTCACTATGGAACACTGTTCATTCTTAAAAATAAACCATTTGTTGTTTATACTAAAGTCACTGAAGTTTCACAGATAAAGGAGAGAATTACTCTCAAGATTTCAGTGATGTTTATAAAAATGGGAGACAGCAGTGATTACACATGGAAATGTGAGAGAATTAGCCTGTGGGATCACAGAAACGCTCACCAGGAATTATGGCTTATATTGGAATGCTTCTTCTCAAATATTAAACACTTCTCCTTCAAAATGTAACAGGTATTCTAGTAAATGTAAATACATTGCACGAAACCGTTTGGAAATTTCTAATGGTCATAGAATATACACTACTCAGTGCTGCAAACAGCATTATATGCAAATAAAGCTTCTTATTTTCCAGGTTGAAGCATGCTCTGTGAACTTTTACAACCCTGCATTTACTCCTCTCCACTAAAAACTCTTAATTATCTCTATAATATTGTACTCAATATTGGAAGAGATTTTGAATGATTAAGATAAGCTTTGATCTCTAGCTCATTAACTTCCATGTCGACCTTTAAAATTATGACTAGGTTAAAGTTTCTTTAAGAGACAGAAAAAAATAAATAACTCTATTTTGAAATTCATTTACCAAATACCAAAGAGTCTAATATAATTTTCTTTACAAGAATCATATTTGTTTTAAAATATAATCTATTCACAAAAGATTGGGTCTAAAAATCTTCTTCTTCTTTAACACTGTATTATAGATGATTATAATGCTATAAACCTTCAAGGAGTCTCAAGCCTTTAATTCACATGCCTCACATATCATGTTTTTAAAAATGACATTCAGAGACATCAGGTTAAGTGGTTTTTCCTATTTCTTTGTCATTCACTGCATTCTAAACATTTATATCCTACAATATATGTAGGGCAACTATCTTTATAACTATTCTTAGCTCAGTAAAGTCAAATAGGACTATTCTATTCCTGTTTTACTTTTCAATATTTCATGACTTTTATGTACTAGCTGAAGTTTAACCCCAAAGCTGCCTCAAGATTAAAAAAAAATGGTAAAGAAAATATACATTGAAGAGGTTATTGTAACTTTCTAATTCAAAGGAACAATGTCAAGTATAAGGACCACCTTGATTTCTCAATCTTTACCCAAAAGAGAATCTAAGAATTGCAACACATTAATTGGCATGAAAATTCAGACTTCCTCATAGACTCATTTTAAGCATTACCATAAAATGCTTTTTAAAAAGGTCTTTATTGAAGAAGTAAGTTGGCATCTCTTACTTATTTATACAATACCTCAAACCTTGGTAAAGTGTCAAAATAGTCGAGATAAGGATAATTAACTCTAGAGCAATTTAAAAGAAAACAAAGGAATTACATGACTCAGAAGTTCTTTGTGCTGTTACTGTGTGTGATATCATTTAGCTGCTGTCGTGCTAATCTGTATGTAACTGATTTTGTATCATTTGGCTACATTCTTTTTAATACAAGTACAGAGTTATAAAAGTTGTTCATTGATACAAGCAAATAGAGAAGCAATGTTACCAGAGAGAAAATTAGACATAACTAATTCTCACCAACAAAATAGGCAAGTTAGTTTGCCTGTGAAATCCCATCATAAACAATATTTGTAGATATTTTTTCAACTTAACTTTCTCCAAGGAAGGTTCAAAGGTAACGTATGTCATGCTAGTTAATTATAGAATTGCAAAAATCATTGCAGTAAAATCTAATCATTCAGTAGAAGAATTGAAAAATTAGCAAAAATTTAGTAAAATTTTTTTAGAAAAAATGTCTGAAAATTCTTATCAGAAACTCACCTGAAATTTTGATAACCTGTTACTCATTCCCATGAGTTCAAATTAAGTGAAATTCTAATGTCAAGAAGTTTAGAGAAAGAGAAGACTTATTTTAAATTTAAAAACCATATGGAAACCTGGAATGAGTAATGAGCTGACTGTAAATGAATGTAGCAAATGATAAAAGGCTGGTAAATGTTGAAAAGATTTGAAAGGAGAAGAAGAGTCATATGATAGATCCAAAGATTACAAACTGAGGCACTGAACATGGAATAAAATGGTGCTTGGGAAAATAGAAGAAAATGAAATGGTGCTCATGGCAAAATAAATGAAATACCAATATTCAAAAGATGGAATAAACAAGGAATAATGATAGGATTGGAGACCTGTAAGAGATAGTAAAGAAGTAACATGTTGGGAGTTTAAATGGTGAAACAGAAATAAAACTACTGTTCTCACTGTAAGTGACTGATAGTCCTTACCTAAAACCACTATACTTTAAAATATTGGATTACTAAAATAAAGACCAATGAAACCGTTTCTAGTTAAACATGAGAAGACTCTGAGTTAGCTTTATCTTACAGACTATTCACACTAGAAATTTTTTATGTCGCTAGAGTAAGAGAGTTGAGATGGAATTCAGCCAAGTGTTTAAAGCAAAGACAAGACCATATTTATTTCCCATTTTTGTTCATTTTTGTTTTGTATTTAAGACAGGGTCTCTCCCTATGTAGCCTCGGCCAACCTCAAACTTGAGATCTTTCTACCTAGGCCTCCCAAAGTGTTAGGATTACAGGTACGTGGCAGCACACTCCTCTCCTTGGTTTTTCCTGTAGAACAGGAAACAGATTTGCCATGTTTGGCAAAGGATAAATGATGCTGAGTTTGGAATATATTAAGTTAGACAAGGACAAAATTGTTTCTGCATTATCCACAGGAATATTTCAGAATTTAGAGGAAGAAAGTCTGTCAAATGTTTATAACTTTTTCTATTAAGTTTATTGGCACATTTAAGGTGAACAATACAGTTACATTCATCACTGGGATCTTGTACCTTTACATGATCGGTCTTGGTTCTCATTTTTTCCCCACACTCCTGTCCTCCCTCCAACCCCTCCACCCTTCCCTATTTACAAAAATTTGATTCCATTTTTTCTTTTCTCATATTTTCTTTCTTTTCCCTTATTTCCTTTCTCCTACCCTTCCCACTTCCCCTTCTTCTTTAGCCCTTTTCTTTCTATTTCACATTATCAATTATACCATTTGAACCTTATTTACATTTTTTTCAGCTTTAATTGAGTTTATTGGTACATTTTAGGGATACAGTACAGTTACATTCATTGTTGGGATCTTGTACCTCTACATGACAAGTCTTGGTTCTCATTTTTTCCCCTTACCTCTGTCCTCCCTTCACCCCCTCCTCCCCTCCCCATCTACAAACACTTTATTTTCATCTTTTCATTCTCTCACAGTTTTTTCTTTTCCCTTTGTACTCTTCCCCTACCCATCCCACCTTCCCTACACCTCTAGCTCTTCAGATCGCATAAATCTTTCGCCTTTTGCTTATTTAGATTTTTTAGAAAAACTATTCAGTATTTACTCATGTTGTATGTATATTATCATTAATGTAAAGCTTTAGAATCCAAACTGCCAATAGGTAAATGTACAACATACCCTCAGAAATATGCATGCACAGAAGCATACATGACATCCAAGGGATTTTTAACAAGATGGAAGTCACGTCTGGTGAGTAAAGTACAAATTGAGGAAAATTCAACAACATGAATTACCCTTAAGGACATTATGCTAAATGAAACTAGCTAGTCACAAAAAGACAAATACTGCATGATTTATCTTATGTGAGATATCTAACATAGTCAAATTCACATGAAAAGAAAATAGAATGGTGGTATCTAGTCATTTAATGGAAATACAATTTGAGATTGAAAACAAGCAAAAGTTTCACTAATGTATCTCACAGTATAAATATAATTAACACTAGTGAACTGCATACTTTAAAAAGGTTAAGATAGAAATTTTCTCTTTGTTTTTTCATCAAGTTAAAAATAGACAAATTTTTGAAATAACCGAAATACATTAAATGTATCATCCCTTTTTCCTGTTCAGGATGTTTGCTAAGTCACAGAAGGAACACAGCAGGCATACTAGATTCCCAATTTTCTTATTCAGTTGTTTGCCTAAAGTTTTTTCTTGTTCCATTTAGATCTCATCTCCCTTTCTGGAGAATCTCCTGCATGAATTGTCTGCAAAACCTCTTCAACTGGATACGAGTCTCAGACCTCTTGTAAACTAGTAAGCCAGCCATACTTTCCCTAAGGCATTTGTTCTAGCTATTTTCCTACACTATTTTTCCCAACATAAATTATAAATGTGTTGCTCTTTAGTTGAATAAACCCATTGAAAGGGATTCTTGCTAATGAAGACCCTTTCCTAATGCAAAACAACTTAGTCTGATTATCACTAGGCAATGGAGACATGCTTGTGAGCATCCTGAAACAGTGAGTACTTGCATGTCACGGGGTGGGTTGGGGAGCAGGAGCAGTCACCTTATTAGAGGAGAATGACTGATGTAGTTCAGTAGGGGTTGGAGTTGAGGGCACACTTGCCATAGGCGTCCACCTTGTAAACATTGTATTCATGCAGGTATGTGTAAGAGCCTGGGGGACAACAGAAAAGCTGTTCTGTTCATAACTGTGAAGTTAAGATAAAATTATTCTAATGTATGCCAACAACTACATTTAAATCATGCAGGCACAAGAAAATAAAGTCAGAGAAATATTGCCTATTTTTACTCAGAATAAGTAACTTTAAAATAGGCCTTGATACAATGTAAACTACATCTAATGAGACTGTCATTTGAGGGGCATAGTAGAGTCTGGTTAAATCCCTAAACCACTTTAGTCTACAGTGTCCATTCTCTTTTCTTTCTTTTTTAAATGAGATGTTGGATATGAGTGTAAAAATATGTGGAGCTTGTCTTCTCAGTTTTTCAAGATTCCTTTACTTTTGCATTGTGAACACATCTAAATTATCCAGAATAAAAAGATTTAAAGCTTCCAAAAGGATTCCTGTTTGCCATTTTTGGGTAGTGGTCTTACAAAGATACTCATAAGTGTTAGCTTATTAAATTTTTTTAGAAATATGTAGGGATTATTAAAACAACATAAAAGGCTGAACTCCATTAGACTACAGATTGTTTTGGTCCAGCTTAAGCTGTGCCTTGAAATAAATCTAAAACACTTTGTGGTTAAAGCAGAAAAGCAGTTTAATGTTCCATTAAGTCACAGTTTAAGGCACCCTGAAACAAATGAAAAGATTGAAAATTTTAGATGTGCAATTATACTTAAATGCCCGCTCTGCAAAGATGCACACTCAAACATCATTGACAAATCTCAACTATGCATCAAAAGAGAGTAAAATAGAAATGGTCATGTGTGATTCAATGAATGTGAAAATACATTTGTTTGCAAAAATACTGTATAAAAAAGCTTATTCTACAATATACACCTTCAAATATTTATATATTGTAAATAAATGAGAGATGTATAATTAACAAAAATTTGTAAAAGGTTTGTACTGGAAAGCAATTACCTGTTTACTTTTGTCTCATCTGCAAAAAGTAAGTATGTGTCATCTAATCCCTTTCTCTGCTTCTAGAGGACTTAGAGGCACTGAATAATTTAAATTATTCTAATCAATAACTACCACATAGGACAATTAACAATTAATGCCAAGAGAAACATACAGTTGAAAAAGCACCCGCTTAGAAACAGAAGTGGCCTTACATTGTAGGTGTGCTACTTTCTATAAATAGATCTTTGAGCCTTTTTTCTTTTTAGATAATCTTAAATAATTATTAGGAGTAAAACATTAAAAAAATCTATAAACTATTGCTAAAGTGCCCGGTGTATTAATTTCTCAATAAATATAAATTAATATGCTTTCCTTCTTCAGTTGAGTTGTCAAGTAAATACTATGCAAATTGCCACTGTTTATCACAGTATGCTACAATATATGCTGAAATGTCTCTACAATATTCACTTTTTAGAGTAATTCATTCTGACATCCTAGGGGAACTATCCAAATTTTTTAAAAATGCTATTAACAATGAGATTATTATTGAGTAATTATTTGAATAATTTTAAAAATATAGGTGATAGTATCCATAATTTATGTGTATAACAAAACAAAACAACAAAAACAGTACAGATAAGAGAAATCAAGGCAGAAGCTATAGCTCAGGTGTACGGTATTTGCTTAGTACATGCAAGGCCCTGGGTTCATCCCCAGTACCATTTTTTTTAATCAAGGAAAATAATGAAAATGATGCAATAATTTATAAACAATCTAAGCAAAACTGTGCTAATAATATTTAAATCACAACAAAAACATCTATAAAGCTTTACTGGTTTATCTATGCTGGGCTGTTTATAAAATATGTGTAATCCAGAATTTTCTTCTAAATGCTGATATCTTTTTAAACAAAAGCAGTTATTAAATTAAACTTATCAAGTAAGATTTATCTTAGAATTTAACTCCCTAAGAATTTCTAACTCTCTGTTTTTCATAATATTCTTTTTTTCTTTATGGAAAATCAAAAATACAATTTTTCCTTGGGATGTAACTTTTATTCAAACACTGGGTTGTATCCACAATACCCTCAGAAACAAATTTTTCAAAATAGGATTGGATTAACTTCTTCTGTTAATAATGACACATTTTTTAACTCCTTCCAACCCCAAAAGAATAGTGGAGACACAGAAAGCACTTATGATGGTGAATATTTAAAAGAAAGCTGTTTTACTTGAGTGTAACATTAGTGTTTGCCTCTGACACAAAATAATAGTTAATGATGGTAACGAGCTTCTCAGTGAGCCAGTATACAACCAGGGTCATTGTTTCTGAGAGTTCATTTGCCTTCTAGACAGAGGTAGTGGAAGGATCTTTTTCATTTTTTTATAAAATGGGATATCATAGCCTGGAAAACATATACTCGCCCAATATTACAGAAATTATTTTTAAAAAATTAATTCTTGACTGTCATTTTTCCCTAAGTGACATTTTTTTCTGACATGACTAAAATTGCAGGTATAATTTTTGGTAATGACAGAAAAATGTCACATATTGAGCCGATATACACAAGAAGCCATGCTAAAATATTTGTTGGCTTTACTTTATATCATAATTTAAAGCTGTAGACATACAAACAAGCTTGGAGAGTCTCATTACCTCAATAAGTATATTTTATATTAATTGCTTAATTTTATGAGACTTGCAATATTGGTTTAAAACTTAGACAAAATAGACAAAAACATCATTACAGCAAATAGCTTAGCCTTTTGAATGTTAAAAATGATTATTTAGGATAGAAATATTTTCAGAGTGAATTATGTACTATTTTATTTTCTTAAAACAGATCAAAATGCTGAAGTCACTGTAACATTTACATAAGGACCTATGACCACCATGAGAAATATCAATTAATGATGGCGATTCCTTTAGGACTGACAAGTCTGTAGGTTTGCTAACCTTCATTAAATAGCTCAGTTCTTATGCTTTTTAAATGTGTATGAGTTTTTTATAGATTTTTTTGGTCAACTTTCTTACTGCCCCTTTCCCTGGCATCATCTTGATAGTCTTAATAATCCTACTCCATATTCTAATTTGGCATTTCCTAATAGGCAGCAAGCTTGGCAACCACATAAAAGAGCACTTAAAATCCTCAGTAAAATAATATTGCATAGGTTCTAAGGGAATAGCACTAAGGAAAAAAATGTATCCTCTATGTTTCATGGACTTTGTGATTTTAATTTTGATTTGAATTTTATTGTTCAAGTCTTGCTCTCAGCTCTGTCTCACTCGCAGCAAGTTCTCAGTCTTGCTGTCTAGAACAGAATGATTGCTACATGGCTGAATCCTGAAAGATGGAATTTGGCTGTCTATTAAGTAGACAAACCACCACATCACACTCAAGTGAAGGAGACAAATTAGGTCCTGTCTGAAAAATCTGGGGTACACATCTGGAGAAAAGTACTGAAATTATTCTAAGTTAAGCAGCAGTACTGCAATATACAGTATTCTTTAAAATTCAATGTAGAAGAATTATACACACTTATTGAGCTTAAAAGGTATTGCCATTTTTTACGTTATTCTTAATTTGTGGAAATACATGTTTTGGAATTGAATAGCTTACATTGGCATCTTACTCATTTCAACCTTGTTTTCAAATGTAGAAAAAATATGGCTACTTTGCCAAGACTACCAACTTTTTAATACCCTCCCCTGTTCCTCGTGACACAAAGGCTGAATTTTTAAAACTTTTGAAGAGCAAAAGCAATTCATGCATATAAGAATACTTGGAGTGCCCTAGGGGTTGTGGTTGTTGCAGAGAGATGAAAGACAAGTTTGATTGTAAGTTTAAACTTCAAACATTTATGGCCTAAGTGGGGATGTCATTCTGAATTAAGCCTCAAACATTTTTTATAGGCAAGAAAGGGTATCTATCATTGCTAAGATGAACTATAAAAGACTGAAGCAAAACCCGGGTTACTTTCACTCATCAGAAGATTTTTTTTTTTTTTCCCATGAAGAGCAGGGTTTTTAACTGACGATCTCTCTCTCCTACCAATTTGGGCATCTGCTCCTCTTCCAGGAATACTCCACAAGTTTCAATCAGTGGAGATATTTTATTTCTCCCTCCTGCTGCTACCAGATATGTCAGGCTACTGATGTAAAATCATTGCCACATGACAGCAACTGCTCAGGGCTGTACTGCCCCAACTCATCAGTCAAGGACACCAACTAAAGGTTACAGAAGTCCTTTTCATTGTTCCTGCATGCCCTTTCTCTCCTTTCACAGCCTCAGCCTGCACAAATACATCCTTTTGAAGTCTGTGACAGTTTTTCTCCTTTCCTTGTTTCTTTGGCTGTTTATGAAGCCTGAACCTTAGTAAATAGCCTACGGCCTAACTCATCTCCCTGCACTTCCATCCACCTAATGGTGATTATGTTATCATTTGGCAGTAATGCTCAGAAGCCAAGACTATTAGAGAACTGACCCAGGGCAGCCGGAAGAAGTGTGTCTTCAGTATCTCCTACGCCCTTTGCTTACTTTACTCACCTTTCTCATGGCTCCTTGTTATTCCAAATTTTCATGTAACTTCGTACCTTTTTCAAGGTCCTGGAAAACAGGATCTACTTGTGTTCAATTATAAGGAAAGACTGAAACGCTTTAAACTATTACCTTCTATTAAATGCTCAATTTAACTTTTCATTCCTTCAGACCTCTGATG